GATTTTTACGTTTTGAGGTCCCCTGAATCCGTTTTGACTATTTTCGCGATGATGTCTGTGTGTGTGTGTGTGTGTGTGTGTGTGTGTGTGTGTGTGTGTGTGTGTGTGTGTGTCTGTGTGTGTGTGTGTGTGTCTGTATAACGCATAACTCATGAACCGATACACAGAAAAACACCAAATTTTAAACTTAAGCTTTGTTTCAGCGTCCAATGAGCTGATTAGATTTTGGGCAGTGTCGGAACATCTGGGGGGGTACTTTATAGGTGGTCATTTTTATATTTTATGGAATATATCTGTTATTTACGTTTGGAGAAGAAAATTCTTCAAATAAAAGTTACTTCTAATATAATTATCTATAATTTTTGTTTTATGCAAAATTTTCCTAAAATGGTCCGTATTCGAGAAATTTGACAAAATGTAAAAAACATAATTTTTTATAAAAATTGTTCAAATAAAAGTTGTTTATAATATAATTCTCTATAATTTTTGTCCTATACATAATTTCTCTAAAATGGACCGTATTCGAGATATTTGAGAAAATGTGTAAATTTCGAAATTTGAAGAAAACTCAAAAACGGATAAAGGAAAAAACATTAAATTTTAAACTTAAGGTTTATTTCGGCCTGACGTGAAATGATTAGATTTTGGACAAAGTTGGAACATCTGGGGGGGTACTTTATGGGAGGCCGTTTTTATATTTTATGGAATATATCTGTTATTTATGTTTGGAGAAGAAAATTGTTCAAATAAAAGTTACTTCTAATATTATTATCTATAATTTTTGTTTTATGTCAAAATTTCCTGAAATGGTCCGTATTCGAGAAATTTGACAAAATGTGCAAAATTCTGATTTTTATGAAAATTGTTGAACTAAAAGTTGTTTGCGATATCGATTTCTATAATTTTTGTTTATACATGATTTTTCTAAAATGGTCCGTAATGGAAAAGTGCTAAATTTAAATTTTTCTGTATTTTCGTTTTCAATGAATATCTATAGAAAAATGTTTCGAGGTAGATGTATGTGTAAAATGTATATATTTAGTATATCCTCTAAACATTTATAGAGATGCTGCAATAGGTTGTACAAAATAACCGGAAAATGCCTATAATAACTAGATAGGAAAGTCATGTGTTGGACACATCAGATTTTTTTTTATTAATTTTTATGAATTTTTATGAATTTTTATGAATTTTTATGAATTTTTATGAATTATTATGAATTTTCATTAATTCTTAATTTTTATTAATTTTTAATAATTTTTATTAATTTTTATTAATTTTTAATAATTTTTATTAATTTTTAATAATTTTTATTAATTTTTATTAATTTTTATTAATTTTTTATTAATTTTTTATTAATTAATTTTTATTAATTTTTGTTAATTTCTATTAATTTTTATTAATTTTTGTTAATTTTAATTAATTTTTGTTAATTTTTATTAATTTTTGTTAATTTTTAAATTTTTTCATTAATTTTTATTAATTTTTATAAATTTTTATTAATTTTTATTAATTTTTATTAATTTTTATTAATTTTTATTAATTTTTATTAATTTTTATTAATTTTTATAATTTTTTATAAATTTTTATTAATTTATTTTTATTAATTTTCACCCCCGTTTTGCCCCCTTAAACTGTGAAAATCCAAAAACCATGAAATACCTCATTATTTATTTATGATGAGAGAATTCTAATTTTCAAGTTTCTACCTTTAAAAAAATCGATATTTCCTTGGAGATTCATCTAAAATCAATGGGATAAAAAAATTTTTATTAATAGATAATCTAGTGCCTGATCGAAGCTTTTTTTTAATTACCAAAATGGCGGCCTCAGGAAAATGTTTTCCAGATTTTCGGGGAAAAACCCAACAGTTAATTGTTTATAAAAAATCGAAATTAAAAAAAAAATCCTTCAATCAGGCACTAGATTATCTATTAATAAAAATATTTTTTTTATCCCATTGATTTTAGATGAATCTCCAAGGATAAGTGATGGTCACTGCAAGGAGCTTCGGTTAGAACTGGATCAACACAAACAGCCCATTACTTTCAAAATTATTTTTTTTTTCTAAAATTTCTGTCAAGTCAAAACCTTATTTAATGATGCAATGTTTTTACTTTTATAAAATAAAATAATTTACTGGCAAAAAAATTTTTATTGAAAATTGTAATTTTTTCATGTCTCTGACTACACCTAACCCCTTAAGCGAAAAATATAAAATACAATTTAAATTAAATGTTCAGAAAACAATTATTTATTGCCCATTAAGGAAAATATTTTTAATAGTGTAACAAAATTTTTTAATTGAAGGAAGATACTTAAGATGTTGAAACAAATTATAAAACAACTAAATTATAGGTAAAATAACGCTCGAACAGTGCACATTCTGCTTTGTTTATGTTGAACTCGAACTGAGCGTGAACTGAATGTAGTTTATAAATCCAGCTTAAGGCTAGTAAATTTTAACAAAAACAGAAGTACCAGAATATCTTAATTATAAATTTTATATTTTGTATCACTCTACTGACTATGCACAAAATGAAACTGTTACAAAAATACTAGGGTTGTGAATAATCAGAATGCTAACAGAAATTAGAAACTTACATTTTTAGGTAAACTTACATGTATTTTCTTTTTTAATTTAAGCTTTTGGTATCCTTTTAATGTTTTCTTTAATAATTATTGTAATATCTAATTCTGCTTGAAAACCCCTGGATCAATCGAACCCACTTCAAAAAAATTAATAAAAAACAGAACCTATCGCACAGGTACAGGTCAACAAGGGCTGAGGAAGATTATGCAGCATACAGAAATCAAAACAATAAACTTAAAAACTCAGTGGCTGTATCTTGAAAAGATTATGAACATAACCTCTTAAAAAGTGGCGAAAAGAAATTCTACTCCTATGTGAAAAGAGTAATGAATACAAACAGCACTCAGATCACACTAAGAAACCAAACAACAAATTTAGAAATCACAGAACGAGTCGAGATAGCAGAAAGATTTGCAGAACAGTTCAGTGCAGCTTACACAACTGAACCTGATACAGAATCACCGCAAATAACTACAACAGAAAGAGTTGAGAATAACATAGTACATATAAAATTTACCCCAGAAAATTTGCAATAGATGGTCTTAAAGAAGATTCAAGTCCCAGAACAGATGAAATCCCTCCCATCTTTCTTAAGAAATGTTCTAGTAGCCTTCTTAATCTCCTCACTACAGTTATGAATGACTCAATGCAAAGGTCACAAAAAGAATCCCATAAACTACCAACCAGTCAGTCTTTTACAAAAGAAGTAACCGAGTTCATGATGGAAAACAGAGTTTTACCAAGCAATCAGCATGGTTTTATGCCCAAAAGATCTGCTGTTACAAATCTTCTAAGTGCAGTTCACCAGTGGACAGCGTGGAATGATAACAACTGATGTGATATATCTTAATTATGAGAAAGCTTTTGATAAAGTTCCACATAGAAGGCTGCTTAGCAAACCGGAACAATTGGAATAAGAGGCAATCTATTATTGTGGCTCAAGAGTTTCTTACTCAACCGGCAGTTCTGCATAAGAATAAATGGACAGCTGTCAAAAAAACATCCAGTTCAAAGTGGAGTACCATAAGGCTCAGTCTTGGGTCCCCTCTTATTTATTTTATATACCAGTGACTTTTATGCAGATGATGGAAAGATCTACTGTAAGCCACTGGAAAGCTTTCACAAAATGAAACAAGACTTGAATAAAATAGGAATCTGGTTTCATCAATGGCTACTACCTCTCAACATAAATAAGTGTACAGTATTGCACATAAGTCCAAATAATTCACACACACAGTACACCTTAGATACAAACGCAATTACTCCAGTCGAAACACAAAGGGATCTGGGTGTAACCATGTCTAAAGACTTAAAATGGGAACCCCACATTGCTAATATAGTGAAGAAAGTCAACAGTCTCATTTACCTTATCAAAAGAGCTTTTAAGCACCATTCCGAAGATATGATCCTCAAACTATATACAACTTACATAAGACCAAAGATAGAATTTGCACACAGTCTGTGATCCATACTTTGTGAAAGACATTGAACTGCTGGAAAGAGTACAAAGGAGAATCACCAAACTACCACCAACCCTAAAAAACAATGAGTATTGTGATCGTCTAGCCAAACTAGAACTTACAAGTTTAAAGGATAGAAGAACTAGAGGAGACTTAATAGAAACCTACAAGTGGACCAGCGGATATTACACCTGTGATAACATCTTCTAGGCCAGCACATCAAGAACCTTGAGAGGTCACTCGAAGAAATTAGATAAAGAAAAGTGTAATAAACTGCAAAGAAAAAATTTCATAACAAACAGAATTGTATATCTGTGGAATGGTCTCCAGCAACATACAGTCTCAGCCCAGAACACAAACCAGTTCAAGGTGAGAGTGGATATAGAACTCAAAGAAAGAAAAAATAGTTTTATTCATTATAGTTTATAGTGTATTGGATTTTAGTGATTTAGAATAATTTTTGTCACTAACTAAAGGAGCAGCTTCATCGACTATGTCACTTGCCTGTTCTAAACAATAATAATAATATTATCTCTTTTAAAACTTTCTCATGCATATTGTATTTTTTCTTTTTTTTTAAATGGTACCTATATCCATTAAATAAATATATTTATGAAATATTGATCTATTATATTAATCATCTTAGTAGAGAATCAAAATTAGAAAAATATATCACATGGCATGTAGTATATTATTTTTAAAATGTATAGCATTTATATTGTGCTGTTAGAATTTGTGTAATTGTGGAAGCAATTAATGTATTTTGTTACTATTTTTGAATGCCTTTTGATTGACCTTCAAAACCAAATATTTTAGACTAACATAAGTTTTGTCTAGATTTTCTTAAAGGACATGACTTACAAATTCATTTTTGTTAAAGCAAATACCTACTTCAAACTTCAATAACAAGAATAGCTTAATATGAATATTATTGGTAAAACACTTACACCTGTGGAACATCATCAATTACGTTTAGTTTTAATCCTGGTTTCTTCCTTGCAGACATGATGAAATTCTGAAATTATAAATTAGTTTTTAAACACACGTGAATATTCCCAAAATACCTGAACACTTTATTAAGAGTTTTCTTCATACTAAATTAAAATTCACATGCAACATTTTAATCGCAGGAAAATAAAAAATAAAATGCTTACTTATTGTTTTAATTTCCTTTAATGTAATATATCGGTATATTTAGAACAACAAACGTGACCATATATGAAAAGTTAAAAGATGTTTAATAAAAAAAATATTTTTTTACAAGACTCGACAATGACAACTTCAAGACAATCAAGTTTGTCACTTGTCATGTTAATGTCATATGTCATGTCAATCCGGTGCACAAGGGTGCGTTTAGAATCCTCGCACGGCGCGTTTAACCCACTGGGAGAACAAAGTCGATCAACAAAATCAAGCCACATTACGTGTGTCTTTTTATCCAACTGTTGCAGCAACATTGGCATCGGTGCGGTATCTACCTGTCTTTTATTTCATCAATCTATCAATGATGAACTAACACCGCTGTCTTTTTATCCAACGTCGATGCAACACCGTTCCATCAGTTCAATCATTGTATAATGTATGATTTTTCAGATTAGATGTGACAACTGACAGCTATTCAGAATTAAGAATTTTATTAATTATTTAATTGTTTTTTGTGGGAAAGCCGAAAAAATGAGATTTTAAAAATATATACGTCCAAATTAAAGTAAATAGGTACATTCAAATAAAATTATAAATACAAATTGTAATCATCCAAAATGTCAACTGTTATTTATTTCAACGGTCAACCATAAATAAATCGAATCCAACAAAAGGCGTTCAAGGCCGCATCGGCGAAAAAACGATTCCAACAAACCAGTGGAAAAAAAGACACACGTATTGCGAGGTGATATGACACCTTTTAATTTAAGAAAATCACTTAAAAATGATTTTTGATTATACGCAGCTAAAAAAATGTTCCGATAATAATAATTATTATTAAAATAGGGCGTTACTAAAAAAAAATAATATCTTACCGTAGTACGCCCGTGGGAAACGTGACGTAAAATGCTCGAAATTGACAGTCCTGTCGTCCAAATTGCCATGCGCACCGACCGTTTTTTTCACCCGTGTCGGCTTAGAAATTAGGAGTAGGGTTTGTCCATGGAGGTAGAAGCTACCTCCATGGGTTTGTCATAGCCATCCAGTTTAATATCAAGGTCGGTGATCTGACACTAAACTATATATTAAACTGGAAGAACGTGGAAAGAACAAAGCCGATCAACAAAATCAAGTCGAATAACTAGGTGATATTTGACACTTTGGCGCCCACATGTGCGTATCAAAATGCACTAAAAAGGATCATCAAAATTAAATTTAACACTTATTACATTCAACTGACACCTTTTAAGAAAATCACTTAAAAATGATTATTGATTGATACGCAGCTAAAACAAATGTTCCAATAATAATAAGAATTATTAAAAAATAATATAATTTGGGGTCCATTCTGTAACAATTCCTTTATATTTTAACGGCCGTTAAAATATTGGAGGCCTCTAAAAATATTTTCTTATTTACTAAATTACTTCTGTCATTATTTAAACGAATTCCTTTAAAATACATTAGAGAACTATTATAAAGAAATCCGTTTAAATCCACCATTAAGTATATTAGAATTTACTTACTCGACTGTCTGACATCCAACATTTAGTATATTAAAACTTGCTCACCCGACCATCTGACATCCACCACGAGTATATTAGAACTTTACAACTAGGTTATGTGACATCAAAAAAAAATTATTTTAGATATATTTGGATTTTCATTTTAAGATCTATTTTATGTTAACACATTAACTGCCAAAATTTTTTCTTGGGTTTCGCACAGAGCCAACAATTTTAATGCATTCACTCTCTGTGACTATTTAATAAATATATATGCATCTATATTAATACAAGGTGTATCAACAATGGGAGAGTGAAAGATGACTGTAATTTATATTAAAACAAAGTAAATTAAAATAAGTTAAAATAAATTAACATAAATTAAAATAAATTTAAATTAATTTTAAATAAATTTAAATACGCGGATTTTGTTTTTTTTTATTTTAGAGTATATTAATCTAAGAAGTTTTACTTCACTCTTTTTTTAATAATTAGTTTTTTATGCTACTGATATGATTCCAAATAACCTTACTTAATGGTTCTTTCGCCATTTATAACCGAGATACAGGTAGTTTTATTAACTTTGCCAATTTCTTTTTTGATTCATAACTTACCAACCACCCTTACATGTTATTGAAATTTGGCACATGTATTCTCTACAACTTACCATAATCTATTAAGGTATTAATAAGAAACAAAATGCAGTTCCATCTTTTCAAAAAAATTTGTCTATCCTAATAAGAACACACTACAAGTCGTTAAATTTGTATCCATATTTGAAAAAAAACAAAAAAAATTAATGTTTTTAATTTTTGAGTAGATTTTATTACTAAAATTGAATGTTTTTTATATTATTTTTAAACTAAGCCCATTTTTAGAAATTGCATATTATGTTGGTACTTGTATGCGTGTACACTACAATAAAATGTACTCACACGTCCGTATTTAGAACCAAATATCATAATCATTACTTTTTAATTAATCATTGCATGCCGTACCAACATCATAACTCTAGAAAAAATTGATTCACATCATTGCTTTTGGTACTGGTAGGCACAGATATATAAAAGTACCAACATAATATGTAGCTTTTAAAAATTCACTTGGGATTAAATAATTATCCTCAATATAACGTATTGAAGTTATTAAAAACCCCTTTAGTTTTATTTTTTGTCTCCAAAATGCTAAAAAAGTATAATTTAGACGTTATATTTTAACAGTAAAATTGAAACAGAACGGATGTTATGCTGCCAAAAAGGGCTGATTCAAATAATCAAACTAAATAAATTAATAAACGTATTTGACACCTTACCTCTTGGAATATTGGACTGATCGGCGAGCGGCACACATAAAGCGAAGGCACAAAAATTAAGCGGTGGCGAACGAACTTGTTACTGTGTTGGCGATACATCGATCTCTTGGTTCTTCGAAAAGGTCCAAAGCATGAATCGTTTAGATGGGGCAAAGTGTCAAAATAGATAAACGCGAATTTAAATTAAGAAATTAATAAAGAAAATAAATCCATTCTCGAACAAAAATCATATCTGCACAAAAACATGAAGCACATGACTAATTTTAGTTTTTTCTGGTCTCTTTAAATATGAAAACGAACTTAACTAATTTTTGAAATGTACTTTCTTGTGTAACTCAAAAATAATTTGAAGTTAAAAATGTTTGCAGTAAAATAGTCTGTGTAATAAATACCGCTGGATTTATCTTTTGTGTGCTTCTCAGGTAAGGTTAGGTTCATTGCACTAGGTTTGCCAACTGGTCGTGTTAATGCACTTGAGACCGGAGAATCAACCATATGAGGGCGATAGATACTCAAAAGAATTAACAAAGTAGTCCCAACAGACAAGTAAAAGATATTACCTGATCAGGAGTGCTTTTAGTGGGTAAAGGTTAAGCCTGACTTACACTAAAGATCCGGGAGTCCCAAACTATGGGAAAAGGGAGAACCTGTACCTAATCTCTATAAGGGATTTCCACATACCAAAAAAAAGATTAAGAAGTTACCTACTTCAATCGAAAACTAATTTTTGGACCAGTGTATCTAAAAATATACACAATCAAAAACTAAAAAGAAAATTATATGAAAATGGAATGAATTATTTTATCATATACAAAACAACTAAAGAAATCATATTAGAATAAAAAAACAATAAAAAAAATCGTAGAATTTGAGGGTGTGCTTTGGCGTTAAACGTTTTAAGTTTTTAGGAAGTAATAAGATGCCCAATTTAAAAATGTATTTATATACTTGATGGATGTTACAAGAATAGTAATTTTTTGTGGAAATGGTATACTGTGGCGTAACAACTGGATCTCACAAGATGCAAGGTTTTTCTGGATGTCACAAAATGTTGTTAATATATATATATATATATATATATATATATATATATATATATATATATATATATATATATATATAAAAGATAAAAGGATTATTGGGCAAATACCGCAAAAAACTGCCTAAAGGCAAACCGTAGACACGTGTTTCCGACTATTGTTCTTCATCAGTACGGTGCAGCCAAATTCAAAAGAGAATGGAACTAGCGATGAAATCAAATCAACAGGAGATCACTCAAGAAGCCAACCACACTTGTGGACTTTGCTAACATTCCCAGTGCTTACTAGAAAAATATTAGCGTCGCCACGGAGGCAGTTATAGCCACTATGGAGATGCATCCAAGCCCAGGGAAACTAAACAATAGAAGAAGGTTTATTGCGGTGAAAAAATATAAAAGATAAAAGGATTATTGGACAAATACCGCAAATCTCCTTTTATGTATGAGAATATGTTGCAAATATTTTAATGCCGCTTTTCTTACTTATCGAGTTTTCGCTCTGTACCCTCGATTTTCGAATCTCCAATAACTACTCAAATAAAATCTTTGAATGGATGATCAATTTTTTTTAATAATTTGACATTTAAGAGACTGTAATAAAGAAAAAATATCTGGTTTTACAGTTGACTGGCATATATTCTGATTTCACTGTTCATTTGTATCATTAGATTTTAAAAGAAAATCGAAACAGGTCGATCCGAAAATTCTGAAAATCAATATGGCTCTAAGTTGGAAGAAATTATCCAAGAAAATCAAAACCGCAAATCGATCGGAGTTTTCGTTCGAGTTATCGGGCCTATATACATAGAGACAAACATTTTTTTGCATTTTCCTTGGCACTAATGCAATACCGAGGCCTCATAGGTATGGGCCTCAATAATTTGAGAAAGAACAAAATAATTTATCTTAAGCAATAACAGTATACATACTCCCACGAACAGTTGTTAGGTTCAAAGATGGGATTATAAATTTGTATCCTTGCATATATCAGGTTAGCTTAGCGATATACCTAAATGAAGAAGCCGACATAGTTACCAGAAGGGGTCCGAAACAGTATGGTTATATCAATTCTACCTTCTTAAGGTGTACTGTGCAAATAACACATAAACAAAAACCTGAAAGTTTGTGCGAGAGCCATTTAAAGTGCCGATGCCGGGAATGTTATTAAGATTATTTGTGAATGTAAATGTCTGACTTTATAGAGGCATTACTGTATTTTTCTGATATTAGAAATGCCCCAATAGAAACGGTGGTAACATTTTCCAGAATCAACGTAATGTGCATCTTTGAGTTGAAAAGCACAGCAGTATTTCCAAAAAATATAAAACAAAACGCTTATAACTTAGTACTGTTTTA